AATAACCTCATGGTTAATTCCTCTTTGTTCGTCTGTTTTCTGGTGAAACAGATTGCACAAAAATTGGTTAACCTTAACTTTTCAACTTTTGTAAGGATAATTATCAAGTGTTTGCTGTTGAAATTAGTGGGCATTGTAAAGAAAACCAAGTGGAGGCCTCTCTGCCTGCTTGCCCTGGCAATGGAAGCTCATTTGCTGTCTGTAGTGAGTGTATCCTGCTTTGTAAGATTTCTTACTCTGTAAGCCCATCTTTCTCTTCCTAAATGAGCCTTGTTTTGCACCTGTCTTAAAAAAATAAAAATCTAGTGGAATGGCAGCATTTCGATATCAGCTGTTTGGACAGGAAGGCAAGTGCCCCTGGAAGCCCCACACTGAGATGAGAGGGACTCCAGCTCCATGGCCTCCTAGGGGCCTCCTAAGGGCCTCCTGTTGCAAAGGTCCATCTGAAGGTTCTAAGGACTCTGTGCCTGGTCAGCACATGTCAGGAAGGGGCCACCAACATGGAAGTGGGCAGATGTGGACTCACATCCTACTCTGCTCCTCTTTGGCTATGTGAGTGGGGGGGGTCATTCCTTCAAGCCTATTTTCTGTGGGGACACATGGGTTGTAAAATCCTCGTGGTTGGTTGTGAGGATGCAGGAATCACACAGGTAAAGTTGAAAGCTCTGTGCCTGATACACAGTGGGCACGTGGTATTCACTGGTCCCCTGGTTTCTTGTCTGACCACTTCCTGCTTTCGTTAATCACTATGTGTGTACATTCTTCCCTGGCCAGATTCCTGCCCTGCAGGGATTCTGCTTTCTCCTGAGTCCACATGAGAAAGGGTGTAGGGTAATGCAATAGTAACCCACCTATAGGGATTCTTAATACCCATGAACAGGTGAATTGACAGACAAACTGGTGTGCTTATACAATGGAATATTACTCAAAATCTGAAAGAATGAACTATTGATACACACAGCAGTATGGATTAACTGAAGACAGCTACAGCCCTGCTGTAGTATGGATTAATTCTAAAATGATTATGTTTACACTGAAAACAAAACATAAGTGAAAGAAGTTGGAAAAGACAAAAATAAATGAAAAGATATCCTGTGTTCATGGATTGGAAGAATTATTGTTGAAACTACTCAAAAAAATATTGCTACCCAGTACAAAACTACTCAAAATGATCTACATGTTCAATGCAATCTTTATTAAAATTCTAATGGTGTTATTCATACAAACAGAAAAAAATAATCCTGAAATTCTTAACTCACCAGACCAGGGGCTACCACGGTGTTGCCAGGAACTAGGTGAGGGAGGAAATGGGAAGATGTTTGTCAAACATCTTATTCACATGATCCAGAATAAGCAAAGCAATCTTAGCAAAAAGAACAAAGTTGGAGGCATCACATTTCCCAATTTAAAAGTCTACTGCAGAGCTATAGTAATCAAAACAGTATGATACTGACATAAAAACAGACAGAATAGAAAATAGAAATAAGTCCATGAATTTATAGTAAAATGATCTTCCACAAGGTCTCCAAGAACACACAATGGGGAAAGAATAGTCTCTTTGAACTGTTTAGTATCAGAAAAACTGGATACCCACATGCAAAAGAATAAAATTAGACCCTTATCTCACACCTATACAAAAATCAATGTAAAATGAATTAAAGACTTAAACATAAGACCTAAAACCATAAAAATACTATCAGAAAACAGGAAAAATCTTCTTGACATAGGTCTGAACACTGGTTTTTTGGTTATGACCCCTAAAGCACAGGCAACCAAAGCAAAAATACGGAAATGGGATTGCATCAAACTAAAAAGCTTCCATATAGAAAAGAAACCAATCAACAGGGTGAAGCAACAACTTACAGAATGGGGAGGAAATATTTATAAACTATCCATCTAATGAGGACTCAATCTTCAAGATATATAAGGAACTCAAACTACTCAATAGTAAGACAATAACGTAATTAAAAAATGGACAAAGGACTTAAATACACATTTTTTCCCCCAAAGGAGACATTGTGAATGGCCAACAGGCATATGAAAAGGTGCTCAGTATCACTAATCATCAGGGAAATGTGATTCAAAACCACAATGAGATACGACTTCACATCTCAGTGTTATTAACAATAGAAACAACAGCAAAAGATGAAAAGCACTGGTGAGGATTTAGAGAAAAGAGAATCCTTTACACTGTTAATGGGAATGTAAATTGGTATGACCATTATGAAGAACAACACAGAAATTCCTCATAAAATTAAAAATAAAACTAACATGTGATCCACCAATCCCATTTCTAGTTATATATCCAAAGGAAATAAAATCAGTATCTTTAGTCCTGTATTCATTGCAGTTTTGCAGTATTTTTTACAATAGCTAACGTATGGAATCAACCTAAGTGTCTATTGACAGACGAATGACAAAAGTAAATGTGGCATATATACTGTAATAAAATATTAGTCTTTAAAAAGGAAATCCTGTCATTTGCAAAAAAAAAAAAAAAAGATGAACTTGGAGGACATTGTGTTGAGTGAAATAAACTGGGCACAGAAAGACACATACTGAATCATCTTCCTTATACATGGAATCTAACAAAGCTTAACTCACAAGACCAGGGACTAGCATGGTGTTGCCAGGAACTGGGTGAGGGAGGAAATGGGAAGATGTTTGTCAAGGAGCACAAAGTTTTAGTTATGTAGGTCGAATACGTTCTGATGTGCAGTGTGGGGACTGTAATAATAATGCATTTCATACTCGAAATTTTTAGGGGAATAGATCTTAAATGTTTTCACTGCAAAAACAAAGACTTAAGCTGAGCCAAAGAAGCCAGAATGAAAAGAATGCTTGCTATAGGTTTAATTTTTTTTATACACTCTTCAAAACCACAAAGTAATGTATAGCGACACAAAGCAGATCAGTAGTTGCCTGGGGCCAGGGGCCAGGTGGGAGCAACTTTTGGGGGCAATAGATAGGTTTTTTAAATCTTGATTGTGGTTGTGGCCTCATGGGTGTTACAGTGTTAAGTGAAATAAAAAAAAAATAATGAGGTTTATAATTTGGAAAAGGAATGCTTTATTTCTCAGGAAGTTTTCAGCCTGTTGTGGCCATTGCGCAGGTTGGGGAATAGGGAACCTGGCCACAAGCCAGGAACACATGTTTTAAGGAAGAAACAAAGGGAACAGGATTTTGTACTGAGTGGGGCGGCTAAATACACATATTTAACAACCTATAGAAGAGTCAGGAATATTTTTGAAAAGAGGCAACGGAGCTTTTTATCCTTTCATAGGGTCCATGTTTAAAAATGGCAGCTGTCTGTCAAAAGAATGGAACAAGAACATGGCATCATCTCAGCATATGTTCTGTAGAGGGTTAAACATCACTTTATGGCTGTTTTTTTTCAATCAGGAAAGATTGTTAGTCTGGCCCTTAGCAAGTAAAGCCAATCTCCCATTCCATCAAAACTGGGAACTCAGTTTTAAGGTTTCTGTGGGGTCCCCTTGGTTGAGGGGGTTCCGTTCAGTCAAGTGGGGCCTTAGGATTTTATTTTTAGTTCACAGTAGGGAAGGAAACCAAAATATTTCATCCCCAAATAGACTTCCTGGCTATGTTTTGAGATGGCTATTCAGACGGCCTGCAGGAGGAAGGAGCCCTGCAACGTTGCCTTTTATGGGGGACATTGGCTTGCACCTGCAGAAATGTTCAGAAAATCTGCAAAGACACAGCCTGACTTTCTCTGAGACCCTCCCTCGTCCAGATTTAGGAAAGATGTAACCGAGAGTCTTTAAAAGTCTGAAAGAAACATTCCCCTCCAGTTCTCTCTTCACAGGCTGCTACCTGTGAAGTTTCATCTACATAGCAAGACCCCTGTGCTGGCCAGGCCCCCACAGCTCTCCCTCCCATAACCTGTTTTGCCAGCATCGCCTGTGTTTGGCTGTACCCTGAGCCCCTATTCTTTCTGTAACCTCAAGACAGTTTAGAAGCATCAACCATCTGGCCACTTCTTTGGGTTTTTGTATTTTGTATGATTCCCATGACATTAACATATTCGTATGCCTTTCTCCTATTACTGTGCCTTTCCTTAGCTCACTTTTAGTGAATTTTCAGAGGACAAAGGGAAGGTTTTTTCTTGGCCTGTACAATGTTAAATTGTCACTGATATTCTCAAAGGCAATTACATTTAGACCTTTTTAGCTTGCTTTTTTTTTTTTTTGCTAATATTTATACATCTCTCTCTTGGTTTCTCAGCAATGTTCATGTATTGTTACATTTTTATCCATTTAGGTTTTATCTTTACACTTACTCTGTGAAAGGTGAGGATTTTCTTTTCTTACACCTTCATCCTCTCTCAACTACACCCTCCCCCAAGTCTGCAGAATAGCAGTCCCCCCATTATTCATGGTATTTTTTCCAACGTTTGGTTATCCACTATCAACCTCAGCCTGAAAATGTTACATCATTACTCTTGTGCTTTGGGGTCATTAGTAAGTAAACTAAGGGTTACTTGAACAGAGCACTGTGATAACATGTCAGTTGATCTGATAGCTGAGATAACATCTAACTGAGTAACGGCTACTGCATATATACAGGCCTGGGTCGGGGGGGTGGGGGGTGGGGGGTGGTGATTCAGGTCCTGGGTGCTACTCAGAGCCACGTACAATTTAAATTCTGTCAATGTTTTACTTCTGTAATTAATTTTGCCCATGTCATTCACTTCCCTTCATGGAGTAGGCATTTTATTATCTCACATTATTGCAAGAAAAAAGGTGAGTAGAGTACAATACGGTATTTCGGGAGAGTCACTTAATTTTTATCACAGTATATTGTTATCATTATTATATTTTATAATTATTTATTGTTATTGAGAAAGTCTTCAGAGCAGTCTGAAGAATGTTAGGTATGCAAATTTATCAGGCCTGAGGGTTCGTTCACGGCGAAACCCCCAGGATCCATGTCTGGGGTTGTTTAAAGGTATTTTGTTTTGTTTTATTTTCTTCCTTGTAGTCTCTAGCCTAGCTGATAAATTACCTAAAATGCTCCCACAAATTGCACAATGTGACCCTCATTCATTATCTTCATGTTCCTGGAATTTGTGATACAAAGAACAAGGTACAGCCAATCAATAGCTTGTGTCAATTCAGGCCCAGTTCCTTAGAACTGCTGCTGCTCAGAACAGGACTACATACATATTCAGGGCAACTTGAATCCATGTCTCCCAGGCTGCATTCCTTAAACTTGGTCTAAATAAACTCTCTACTTATATTAGTTTTGTCTCAGATTTTTACTTCAGGTAAATATTTCAGAGTGATGCATCCTGACTATCAGATGTCCCTTTTCAGACTTGGTGCTTGGTACCAGCACAAACCTATCGTGTTCTTTAGACTCCAGAGGTTTCCCCTTGGGTGCAAAGGGCAAATTCTCCTGAATCGAGACCTCCCTCCTTTTATCTGAGATCTAGTGTTTATTTGGGCTATTGATCAAACCCTCTCTTTCCTTTAAGAGAAAAGACTTCTATGTCTGCCTCTGGATAGAAAATTTGGGTCGACAACTTTTGCTGTCTCTGCCTGTACCTCATGTCATGAGGTTTGGGTTACGGTACTGGCAGTCGAACACCAGAGGTTTCACTCTTTGCGGGATGGGGTAAGGTATGCTTAAAATTACATAGCGTGGTTTTAAAATTGCACCTGCTTCCTATTGCTTGTAATTTGGACTTGTATTTTCATTTGTCTTCAATTACTGCTAGTATCAAACCAAAAGGTGCACAAAAGTGAGTTTTTTTCACCCCCAAGTTAAGATACACTTGTTCCCTCTGAACCCAACTGGGGGTCCTGGGTGACTAGAGACTTTATGGAGGTGTTGGAACATTTGTCCATGTCATCCAGTGGTCTCATAGTGCCTCTCCACAAAAAGAATACCCACGGGGACGTTTAGCACTCTGCCACTACAGGGTGAGGAGAGACTCTGAGACATGTAAAGAGTCAGGCATGACTCACTGCTGACCCTTTTGAGTAAGATGCTGACAAATCAGTATATTTTAACCTAATACACTGTTCCAGCTTTGGTTGCTTTTGGAAAGAAATTTCTAAAGTTATGGGCAACCACTCATCAACTGCTTTCCTTTAAGGGGCAGACCCTTGGAACACCAGCTGGGTTTCTACCTAACACCTATGGAGCTCCATTTGGCCAGTACCTAGGAAAATGGGCGCATATGACTTGAGATGACCCCAAATCAAAATAACTCAAAATAGGAGTCTTTTGAAATTCATAAATTAATATATTTGCTTACATAATTAGTAAAAATCAGGCTTTAGAACCAGACAAATTAAATGGGAGGCCTACTTTTTGCTGAACTCTGGTAATAAGAGATTTGCAAGGTTTTTTCCTAAGAGCTCCATGGTCAGAAGTCAGCTTAATTAAAAGTTGATTTTCGGACACTGATTTTTTTTTTTTTTTTTGAAAATTAAAAGCACTTTCTGCTTATTCTTATTTGACTCCTATTTCTGGAATTGTTTTTTCAGTTTACTGAAACCTCTTTTAAAATATATTTATTTCCTGTGTTTGCTTCCTTTTTTGTTGGGCATGATTTTTGCTGAGAAAAATGTAAAACTTCATTTGCCTTTTAGAAAGCTTAAAATCTCGCCAAATTTGTGTCTCTGAGAACTGTTTTCCCATTAACTCCTGCTTACGCTCCTCTTTCCTCTTGCCATCTTCAATGTAGCATGAAAAAAATCTAGAGACTTTTAGCAGCCCTGGAGGGGCTGGTCTGAGACTCCTTGAATAACAAAAAAAGGCATCACATACCCCCTTGTTGGGGTCTTCTGTCTTCATCGTGGAGCCCCACTTGTAACAGGCAGATTCCTCTTGGGTCCAAGCTGCTTTCTTTTGAATTGAGTTACCTGGTATCTTTTGCTTTGGGGGCTATCAGAGATTGCTGTGTACTGTGAGAATGAAATTGACCTTTGTGTGGGTGTTGGCTGGTGTCACTGGTGAGAGCTGAAGTGTAGGAGGTGGCTGGTGGCTGTGGAACAAATGCTTGCTGATTTCTTTGTGTGTTTAAATAAAACAAAACCGCATCACTACTTCTGTGGCTATCTTAACAGAAAGAAAAAAAGTAAAAAAAAAAAAGAAAAATCATGGTTTGGAGACTTAGGGGCCATGGGAACACTCCCTACTGAGGGACTGAACTTCTGGGGAGACAGGCTGGTGACAGAATGGGCTGATGGTGTTGGGTTGCCCTCAAGCCTTGGAGGAGTGTCTCTGTGTGAGGTGCACTGTGGAAACCTTGTGCATCACAGTCCTGTGGCGTTTCCCTTTTTTGGGGGGGACCCAGGATTCAGTGTAAAAGTGGGATCCTTGATTTTTAAATGTGTATGCTCTACCTCCCAGCCTTTCACATGTTCAAGTACTATAGGCCCTGATTAAAACCAGCTTTTAATTACTCTGACTTCTGACCATGGAGCTCTTAGAAAAAATAACCTTCCAAATCTCTTATTACCAGATTTCAGCAGAAAGTAGGCCTCCCTTAATTACCTTATTTGCTAATGGATTCTGCCCTGAGCTCAGTGGTCCAGTTGGAAAATGGAGACTACATAAGAAGCTATCCATCTAAATGAAATTGATGTCCTTGTAAAACGAATTCTTATGGATTTTGTGTTACCTTGATGTTCATTTTAAATCTTTCTCTAACTGACACACCCAAACTCCTTCTTGAAAATGTTTGAAATTTTTCTTTGTTTGAGATGTAATTTGCTACCCTGTTTTCTCTAAAACTCAGTGAAAGTAAAAACTTTGACCATATGGGACAGATAAACTTTAAGTCAGTTTCACTCACAGGGGCATAGTTTATTATTTTATTTTATTATTGTCAGACAGAGTCTCACTTTGTTACCCTTGGTAGAGTGCTGTGGCATCATAGCTCATAGCAACCTCAAACTCTTGGGCTCAAGCAATTCTCTTGCCTCAGCCTCCCAAGTAGCCGGGACTATAGGTGCCTGTCACAATCCTTGGCTATTTTTAGAGATGGGGTCTTGCTGTAGCTCAGGCTATCTTGAACTCCTGAGCTCAGGCAATCTACCTGCCTTGGCCTCCCAGAGTGATAGGATTATAGGCATGAACCACTGTGCCCAGCCAACAGGGGCACAGTTTAATCCAATTATAATTGGACTTTATTTTTAAATTCACAATTTTAAACTAGTGAGTTTTATCTGTCTTATGGCTAAAATTTCTTTTCTTTCTTTTTGTTTTTTTTTAGAGACAGAGTCTTACTTTGTCACCTTTGGTAGAGTGCCATGGTGTCAGAGCTTACAGTAACCTACAGCTCTTAGGCTTAGATGAGTCTCTTCCCTCAGCCTCCTGAGTAGCTGGGACTACAGGTGCCCGCCACAATGCCCAGCTATTTTTTTTGTTGTTGTTGTTTGGCTGGGGCCAGGTTTGAATCCACCACCCTCCACATATGGGGCCAGTGCCCTACTCACTGAGCCACAGGCACCACCCCTTGTGGCTAAAATTTTAAAATCAAAGTTGTAAAATCTTTGTGTCTGGCTCTATTTTTAGATATATATATGTACATGTCTTTGTTTGTGTATTGTCTACATGGTACCAACTTGACTTATAAATAAATGATTACTCATAAATTAAATAACTAGGCCAAATGCTTTTCAAATTTGTATGACTTCAGAAATCTTTGATAAATAAAGATCAATTTTAAAATTGTTGGTAACATAAAATAGAACTGTCTTCAGAATTTTAGACATTTTTGCCTGAGTCTACTCGTCAGACACATGTCTACTGCCTCTATTGGATGTTTTAAAGTCATAAAACTGGAGCTTCTGTGAAATTTTTGATGACTGCTTGATGTGTCTGTGAGCTAAAGTTGTGAGGGCAGGCTATTGGGCTTGCCTGATACCTTGCACACATCTTAATGTGAACTTAAGCCTTTGGGTTTGGGCCTGTAGATTCTGGGGACTAGACAGGTGGCTGTGGTGAGGCCTGAAGATGTATGTATGCCCATGAGCCTAGACTACCAGCTGCAGGGCAGAGCCACCCCTAATATGTCCTTCTTCACCCAGATCTGCCTCCTGGCCATGCTGAGAGGGGTTAGATCCACTGTTGCAGGAAACTGATGCAGACAGAAGACTCCAGGCACCAGTTGATTAGAGGAAGCGACTTTACTTCAGCTGGGGGAACTTGGAAGACCAGTGTCTCCAAAACCGAGCCTCCCTGCCTGAATCCTCTGTCTTCCTTTTATCTACTTTTAGGGCTAGAGTGCATGTGAGGGTCATATAACTGAGAAAGACAAGACATTATCCTTGGGGTCCCGAGCTCAAGGGGGAAGGTCATATTGGCCCATGTCCTTGAGATGGGTTGGACCACCTGCCCTCAAAGGCAATGGAAGTCCAAGGAAGTTACTAGGTTACAATCTAGGCCCTGCATATGTCAAGGGAGGAACATACAGACAACAGAAATGCCTGCGGCTTGGCTGAGGCCTACATAGGGCAGCTAGGACAGATTCTTTTAGCTCTGCTTTCATTTTCTTGCCTCACCTCCAGACATTGTTTTTACATTAGGTTTCCCCTAGAAATTAGGCTTACCATGAGTTAAGATTGTAGTTAATATAAATAATTAGAACTATTAGATATAAGAGAAACAATTGTGTATACACAGTGTATAAAAAAAGTAGGCTGTGTTTAAATTATAAGAAAGACACGAGAATGTAGTTTTTGTTAAGAGGTGATTTTGTCGAGTTTGGAGGTTATTTTAAAGTTGTTTTAAGTTGGAGGAATTAAAAAAGAGTGCATATAAAAAGAAAGCGGGGAAAGAAAGAGAATGGACAAAAAGGTAAGAGGCTATGGAAACGCATTTCATGTGGTCAAGGATGATTGCGATTCGATAGATCTTTTTGTTACCCGATGAAGAGGATCTGGCTGCCTGTCACCGTCAGCCAATATGCAGAGATGGGGATAGGTCCACCAAACTTTGTCAAAAGAGCGATTCTGGGGAACAGTGAGAGTAGCCTCTCCAGGACCATTCAGTTCTTCCATTTCCAAAATCACAATTTTCTACATAAAAGTTCAAAGCAAAGACCACATTAACTTATTTTAAATAATGATCAGTAAAACTTAGTGATAATCTATCAAAAGTTAATTTCCCAAATCAATCCTCCTAAAGCAAAGACCACCTTAGGCCTTATTTTAAACAGTAATTGGCATAACTGGGACCTATTACAACATTTCTAATTCAAAAGTCAGTTTCCTAAATCAGTCTTCCTAAACTATTCAAGGTGAGCATCTTTGGGTGGGAGTTAAATTTACACAAGAGTAAGAATGAGGGATGGGGGGTGAAAGTCAAGTAGGACCTAAAACAACCAGGCCAGCTGTGTGATATCTGCCTTAGCCTAACAGACTTCATTTTATTCTCACTGCATGTGCTTTCATGTTTATAAAGTTTTATTAAAATTTGGTTTAATATTAATAATACTCTGATATGAGGGTAGAATTTTGTTTTTTCTTTTGAACAGGATTTTTGTGCAGTATTAGTAAAAGATTGCAAAAGATTTTGTTTACCTTTTGAGTAAACTGAAAAGGAAATAAGATCAAATTTCTTTGTCAAAATTATTTTTAACCATGACTGTTTTAAATTGTGTCCTATTTCTTCTTGAGGAGTTCATTCTGAGTTTCACAGTGACTGAGAAACCCACTTCACTGGTCAAATAATTCAGTCTGTTTGTGACCCACTTCACTGGTCAAATAATTCAACATTTCCATTGTACATTCCATTCTCAGTCTTCCAGACTGGTTGAACACACAGGTGAGATAATAAAAGTTAACTAACAAAATTTCCAGAAACTTTTAACTTTCTCTGTCCTAAGGCCCTTCCATTGGTATTGCCTAACCTACATTTTATCCCATTTGGAAGCCATCAGCTTTATATCTTTGAAATAAAAAAAAGAAGACCCATGCTCCTAGATAAAGGAGCCTACAAACTAGCTCTCCTTAAAGGTGATACTCTTCATTATTGTAAGGCCTTATAGAGCTTCCCACTAAAAATTCCAATTATTTTGTGTGTATTTATTTATTTTTTTGGGAGGGTACAATGTACTGGTTTTATATACAGTTTGAAATATTTTCATCAAACTGGTTAACATAGCCTTTACCACATTTTCTTAGTTATTGTGTTAAGACATTTATATTCTACACTTAGTAAATTTTGCAAGTACCCTTGTGAGAAGCACAGTAGGTGTGGTCCCACCAATTACCCTCCCTTCACCCATCCTCCCCCTTCCCCTCCCCTCCTTCTCCCCTTTCCCTTTCTTCTTGGGCTATAATTGGATTATAGCTTTCATATGAGGGCTGAGTACATTGGATATTTTTTCTTCCATTCTTGAGATACTTTGCTAAGAAGAACATATTCCAGCTCCATCCATGTAAACATGAAAGAGGTAAAGTCTCCATATTTTTTAAGGCTGCATAATATTCCATGATGTACATATACCACATTTTATTAATCCATTCATGGGTCGATGGGTACTTGGGCTTCTTCCATGTAAAAATTCTAAATTAATTAAAAATTCTTTTAACCTTGACCCCCTAGGAGATAAAGACATCAAAGATTATGGCTTCAACCCTGAAGATTTTTTTTTATTGGAAAAGCATCAAATAAAGGACTCTCTCCAACCACACTGAAAAGGACCATATCAGGTGTCATTAATCAATCCTTGTGCAGCTAAACTCAAAGACATTGCCTTTTGGATGACCATTTCTCATTTATAAAAGACAGCCTTGCCTGAATGGACATCTTTTATCACTGGACATCTGGAAGCTGACCTACAGCCAGTCACCTTGTTCTTCAGACCAGAGTGAGTAGTGGAAACAGTTAGAAAAAAATAACTCAAAGGGTTAAATGGTTCCATGGTTAGAAAGACAGAACCTTACATAGTTTATTTGATTGGTTACCGTCAGGAACTGCAACACTTGGTAGGTCTGGATTTCAATTTGTTTTGTTAGTAATTGTCCTTATTTGTGTTATATATTTGATTCTTTTTTTTTTTTTTTTT